GTAAAGGTTAAAGTTTAATAGTAAAGCCACACAGTATATGTTTGTAAGATATGGTAATGAGAAATTTGGCTATAGAGTATGAGATTCAGTGAAGAGAAAAATAATCAGAAGCAAATATGTGATCTTTCATTAAAAAAATATAGCAGACTTTAAGAAAAATGAAAAGATTACATGAGTTACTATTGAATGTGGTGTTTCAATACCGATGGGGTGCCACAGAAAAGAGCAATAGATGGTGAAAATGAGTAAAAGACATAACTTAGAGATATAAATGAGCTAGCCATATTTAGTAATAAGTCAGATACAATCAAGTTTAAATAGGAAAAGCAATCCCCTCTACTTAAAGTGTTGAGCAGAGTAAGCAATCCTTTTCATCAGAAAATGATGAGCATGGAAAACTATCTTTAGCATCAAGTGGTGTAGAGTCTTAGCGTAAAAGATCTACCAAAAAACATAGGTCATCTATCAAGTATCCAAGTTTAGATTTTATTTTAATTACTAGTGAGAAAAAGTCAGAGAGCTTCCAAGATGTATAGATTACTCTAGATAGAGAGCACTGGTTAAAAATAATAAAAGTAAAGACGGAATCATTGTGAAAAATGGTACATATAATCTTATTAAACTTTCAAAATGGAAGAGACCATTGAAAAATAAATGGGTGTTCAAACTAATAAAAGATGATGACAAGCTAGTGAGATACAAAGCTTAATTGATAGTGATAAGTTTTTTTCATAAACTTGGCATCGATTTTGATGAGATCTTCTCTCCAATTGTGAAAATGAGTTCCATTCGAGTTATAATGGGATTAGCAGCTAGTTTGAAATTTGAGCTTGAGTAACTTGATTTTAAAACTGTATTCTTGCATGGTGACTTGCAAAAAGATATTTATATGGATCAGCCTGAAGGTTTTAAAGTGAAAAAGAAAGAACATTTAGTTTGTAAAGTAAAAAAAGCTTATATGACTTGAAATAAGTTCTATGACAGTGACACAAAAAGTTTGATTCTTTTATAGTGAGCCATAGCTATAAAAAAATGACAGTAGATCCTTGTGTGTATGTCAAAAAATTCTCTGATGATAACTTTTTTATTCTTTTATTATATATTGATGATATGTTAATTATAAGACAAGATGCTAGTATGGTTTGCAAGTTGAAAGAACAATTATCTAAGTCTTTTAACATGAAAAATTTAGGTCCAGCAAAATAAATTCTTGATATGGATATTATCTGAGATAGGAGAGCTAGAAAGCTGTGATTGTAACAGTAAAAGTATGTTGAATGGGTCCTTAGTAGATTCAACATGTAACATGCTAAATCAATTAGTAGTCCAATTGCCAACTATTTTCGTTTAAGTAAAAAATCTTATTTGATGACTAAGGAAGAGCAACTAGTTATGTCTAGTATTTCTTATTCTTTTGTAGTCAATTCCTTAATGTATCTTATAGTTTGTACACTGTTTGACATTGCTCACACAGTTGGTGTAGTAAGCAAATTTCTTTCTAATTCAGAAAAGGTTCATTTGAAAGCAGTGAAATGAATTTTTAGATATTTAAGGGGCACTTTAAAAATGTACTTGAGTTATGGAGTTTCATAATTAGTACTAAAAAAGTTCATCGATGTTGACATAGCAAATGATCTTACTAGTAGGAAACTACTTCAAGATATTTATTCATTTTTACAGAAGGAGCTATATCTTAGCAGTCTAAGTTGTAAAAGCGTATTATCTTGTCAACTATAGAGGCTAAGTATATTGCAGCAACCGAAGCGAGTAAGAAATGCTCTAGATGAAACATTTTTTTTTGAATTAAGGTTGAATAAAAAAGAATATGTAGTATTTTATGATAGCCAAAGTGGTTTAGATTTGAGTAAAAATGTCAGGTACCATGCTAGAATGAAGCACATTGATATTAGATATCACTGGTTATGTTCAGTAATTGAAAAACAATAGATGCAATTGAAAAAAGTTTATACTCATAAGAATGTATCAAATATGTTGACTAAGACACTTTTTAGAGAAAAGTTTAAGCTCTTGATAACTTGGCTGGAATAGGTTCATTGGCCAAGGTAAATTCCAAATGAAATTGCTATGGTGATGAATCTCCTCTTAATGAGACTGAAGGGGAGATTGTTAGGATATATAGGGTCCAGACTCTTTAGTTTTGGCAAATTAAAAAGCCTAAAGCCTTTTTTTTTTTTGTCTTTGACCTAAGAGAACCCTACTAAAATAAAACCTTAAACAATAAAGAGAGGGCTATGTAATGGAGAAACAGCGAGTGGCCTCGAAACCAAGGGAAAAAGAAAGCCATGAAAAATAGTGAGAAAATAGAGAAAGGAGAGTTGGTTAAACGAAAGTCGATCTGTGGTCCAATTGAGCTAAAATTTTATTAACAAGTTTATGATTCAAAATTTTACATTTTGAACGGTGAAGATCATGTTTAAAGCTCTCTAAGAACAAATCTATGATGCATTAGTTGAGTCACTTATTTGGTGAGATTTCTCTAATTGTCTATCTAGTTATTAATTAGCTCTAATTTTAACTATAGGTGAACTTTGTATATCCATTATTTGATAGTAAAGATTTTTCTGGTGATCCATGATTTTTTTCCTCTACACTAAAGGGGTTTTCCATATAAATTTTGATGTGCTTTATTTTTCTTACATTTTTTATTATTGATTGTTGTTTATTATTATGGATTTATTGTAATATATTACTTATGTGTTATTGTGTTTATTACTTCAGGCTCAACAGCTATTTAGATGGAAGAGCCTATGTTTGTATAAATCTAAAAAAAAATCAAATATTTTCGATGTGAAATTCAAGTTTCATTCCTATATTAATGCCTTTTTTTCATCCATTGTTAAAATCATCCATTATAGATTATAGAACACTTTAAAAGAGAGATTCAAGTACTAGTCTACAAAAATGTACACAATTTTCAAATTAGTAGGATTGGGTCCTGAAAATGTACAACCCAAGGCATACCAAAGTTGATTTAGAAGCCACAGGTAAGATATGACCATTCTATATTCAAATTCCAGCACATATAATTTCATTCCTTATCAATTATTGTTTAATCATTTATTAGGAGCCTTAATCAAATTATTGAAAAGGAGAATAATATACAGCAAAGCAAGCAAACTGCACTTTCGCAAGTAAAGAAAACACACACCAGGAAACTGGATGAAAGCCGCTTTGTTACAATCTAAAAACTTCAGATAGTCATAGTAGAATTCAGCAGCTAAAATTTATGACACCAAAAGACAAAAGAAATGTAGCTTGAAGTCTTACATGTTTGCATCATTTTTCCATTCCTCAACCTTGTCTGTAGCAATTTCTTCATTGGGGGAAAGTGCCATACTCGAAATCCTAAGGATAGAACTCAATTTCACAACTTGTCAAATCTCCAAGAACTTGTAACAATTCATAAGTGATCTCCTCTAACTTTTTCGAATCCGTTATCAAGTCATAGGTGCAAAACATAGCGATCCTCTTCAAAACAGGTGCATGCTGACACAAATACTTTAAATAATGTACATTTGCTGCAGTGCCCTCGATATATATGGGAGATGCAAAAGGCATGCTTAATGAAATTTTGGTGAACTCCCCTTAAGAAAGCTAAGAAATTCAAGATATGGTGCCTTTTGAAGAAGATACATCAATGCTCTGATAGTATGAGCACCAGGAATGGCATGATCGGGACAAATTCAAGATCTCTGCCCAAATACTGTACGGAACAATTTGATCAAGCAGATAATTTTGGCTTGATAGACCAGGCAGATTTGGTGGATTAATCTTGATTTGACAATTGAGTGAATAATTTTCTTGTTCTTGCAGTAAACTTCATTAGAGTAGGAATATTAATGTTGATTCTATTTATATTGTTCCAATTACACTCATATAACTCCAGCTCTTCTAGGACTAGACAAATGAGAGAGCCTTGGCACAAAACACAATATAATGTTAAATTGTTAGTCTTCCACAAAAATCGTTTAAAGCCTATAAGAAAATTTTTTTACCTGATTCTATGTAATATATGGAAATTGGCAAGTTTGACATATCTCAAGGATGTCATTCAATAGTGCAAGAGATTTGACACCATGAATTCCAAAAAGTAATTCAAGGGTACGATGAGCATGTGGAGCTCTTCCGCAGTTCATAAAATCAATGTATGCAATATGAATCAGTTAGGGAAGATAGGTTAAAAGATAACAAGTTCAGTTGACAGATCAATTTGGCAGTTAACAGATAAAAGATAGGGTGCAGAAAGAAATCTTTATCAGGCTATGGAGTACATGTTCTGGAAACCAAGTACCATGGTAAGTTTTCAAAGATTTATAGTTGATGCAATATTAGTATCTAGATACTATACACTATCAGTGGATTATACAATGATATATCATTAAAAAATTAATTCTAAATGTATTTTTATGATCAATGTATTTGTTTTTTAAAATTTTAAAATTATTTTTTTATGAGGTATCATTATATAATTCATTGGCCGTATATAGTGCTTCAAATATAAACTCTAAATTTTGATGCATGAAGAATGGGGAAAAAATGGTAATGATGTTGGCATTAGTCCAACTTCAATCACAACTTGGCAAATTATTGTGTTTTATTTTGTGATTTTGGAATTTGATTGCATATGGAAGTAGCTTGGTCCATTAAAAGCATGGCCAAATTTATTTGCCAATTTCGAGGAAATTAATTCATTGTTCATCAATACATGATGAATCATCCTTCCTTTTTGACTCCTATCACTATCAATGCACAAGAAAAATAAATGAAGAATGACAATGAATAAACAAAACCAGAGGATTCTTATTCACAAGCCTACCAAAAGTAGAAGAATATTCAATTTCAAGAGTGTACTGAAATAAATTTGGGTCAAAATTTGCTTTCAATGTTGTCTTTATATAACAACATATTTGCTTTCAATATTGTCTTTATATAACAACAACTAGCACCATTGGATCACAGGCTTACTTTTCTCCTCTAAAATGTCTGTGACCCTTCATTTTCTTAATTCTAAATTGTTGCTTTGCCTCTTAGTAACGTTATCCCAACACTATTTTACATTTGCTACCTCAAAACCAACTTTTGGCTTGAGTATAAGGGCTATCCTCGATGATTCCCCAGGGTCTCCTCTATACCTTATCGAAAACCTCACTAGAGCTGAAAGAGTAGAAAGGTTTATCAAAATTAAATATGCTAGAGCCAATTATTCCGATTTGGTTTCTCGTTCTAATGCAAAGGTTGTTCATGATAATATCCGCATACCGATACTTCGAGATTATTTGTTCTATGTTGTAATGTTTACAATAGGAAACCAACGACAACCTGTGAAATTGTTGATGGACACCGGAAGTGGTTTGATTTGGACACAATGTCAACCTTGGAATCTATGATCCTAGAGCCTCCGCGACTTATGGCACATTCCTTGTAGTCGTCCTCTCTGCCATGGCGATGACAGACTCTATGATTGTGTAAACGGTGAATGTGTCTATGATGTTCTGTATGGTGGTGGAGCCACTACCAGGGGCGCTGCATCCCTGGAATCATTCCAATTCTATATTAGTAATGCTGATACGAAAACTTTCACCAACGTAATCTTTGGTTGCTCGAATGATAACAGCGACTTTTTGTTCGACGGCAGTGATGTTTCAGGGATCTTTGGATTAAGCAAGTCTCCGGATTCAATGGCGAGCCAGTTTTCTCCTTTAACTCACACTCGATTCTCATATTGTTTTGGTCCCTTTTCGCGATGTAATGCCTCGTCCAATCATCCTAGGGTTCGGAGAGGACATTCCGCAGCTGCCTCCAGGACAGGTTCAAACAACATCATTCCTGTACTCACCGCGAAGACCCTACCTTTTCTACCTCGAATTGTTGGATATAAGTGCTGCAAACCATCGTTTAGGATTTCACCCTGATACGTTCAGAATCAGGCCAGATGGCTCAGGTGGTTGCTTCATAGACTCTGGAACTTTAGTCTCTCAAATTGATTTCAACACTTTAGGGGTCAATGCTTATGAAGCAGTAATGAGAGTCCTTGAAGCTTATTACGGGTCACGAAAACTTGAAAGAACAACAGTTTTAAAAGTATTTGAGCTGTGTTATAAAAGTCCAGCAAATTATCATGATTTCGCAGCAATAACATTCCATTTTAATGGAGCTAATTACAGCGTAGATGGGGAACATGGGCTTTTCTTCGACCCTGTACAAGGGTTTTTCTGTGTAGGAATACTAAGGGGAAGAGCCGGACTGTGCTAGGAGCATAGCATCAACAAAATAAGCGCATCATTTATGATGGAGGAATTGGTGTACTCCAATTTGCTGATGAACAATGTGTCAATGAAATTGGTGGACTCCAATGCACGTGTTTAATCGAATTTAATCGATAATAAATAAATTGGGAGATGTGGGGGGATAATGTGTTAGAAAGTGGGGTGGGCTGTGATGTGGGGGATGTTTCAAAACCGGCCGGAGGGTGCTTTGTGCGGATGATGCTGAGTCGACTTGGAGGATTGGGAAAATGCTAGGAATGCAAGCCAGTTATGATAATGAGATAGTGATTAAAGCATTAAAAGATATGCAAAAGACGGCCAAGCACTGAGGGTGCAAGCAGGTATGCAGAATTATAGGAGTATAGACAGTTAGTGGAAGAAAAATTAGGCGGGAGATTCGGTTTTGCGTAACTAGGTAGGAAGTGTTGGTGAAAAATCCAAGATGAGAATGTTATCATGGGATGTGAGGGTCTGGGCAGTATGGTGAAAAGGGGTATGCTGAGATCTGTTGTAGCTTCCAATAGAGTTGAAGTATTGTTAGCACAAGAGACAAAAATTAAAGATTGCACGGATTATACAATACATAGGATTTGGCCAGATGGGAATTTTGAGTGGGTTCATGTGGAAGCAAAAGGTAAGTCAAGAGGGCTGCTAAAGGTGTGCGATAAGATCAACTGTTTTAAATGGTTAGATCTTGAAAAGGTTATGGTATAGTGCTAATAAAGGGGTGCTGGACCCAGAATAATTTTGAGTGTGTAATTTGCAATATGTATGCTCCATTTGAAAATAAGCTAAAGAAGAAATTGTGGGCAGACATGGTGGACAAAATGAAGGAAGTGGGTAGTGGTTGATACGTTGCTGGCGACTTCAATACAGTTAGACCACCTTCGGAAAGATTGGGGTGCGTGAACATTGGGGCTGATTACACTGGTAAGACTCCCCTCAAAAGATTTTCTGGCACGCAGGGGACTGCCATTGTCCCATCTCCATAGCTTGTGCCCATGGTGTAAAAAAGACCTGGAAACCACGGATCATGTACTGTTTACCTGCGCATGGGTGTATAAAATCTGGGGATACTTTTTAAAATGGTGGAACATTAGATGGTGACAACCGAATACATTGAGAGGTTTCATATTAAACTATTTGGATTCTCTGCTCACTGGGACATTGAAACTGTGGTGGTTTGCATCTTTTTCTGCTGCTTTGTGGTCATTGTGATTAGCAAGGAATGAACTGGTCTTTGAACAGAAGAGTTTGACGGCGGAAGACATGGTCTTAGTGATAAAATTAAGAGCCCTTCACTAGACTAAAGATACTATGGAATATGAATTCCCAAGGGAATCGGTATTGTGGTCTGACCCTTGTGCAGGCGTGCCAGAGGTTAACGAGATACAAAGAAGAGATTTCATTGAATGGTTGCCACTAACGGTAGGATTTGTAATGTTTAATATTGATGGTTCAGCTACAGGGAATCCGGGTCCTGCTGGATGTGGAGAGGTACTCCGGAATGTAGAAGGATAAATGTTGGCTATGTTCTCAGGTCCATTTGGAGTTCAGGATCCAAATATGGCGGAATTATTGGCAATTAAACGGCGCTATTAGTCTTTAAACAAACTGAGTGGAGGCATAGAGCGAAACTAATAGTAGAATTTGACTAAAAAATTGTTGTTGGTTGGGTGATGAATGAGTGCTTACATCCATGGAGATTTTGGAACGTATTCTCAAAAACTGACTTGGCTGTCAGAGAGTTGGGTGATGTTAAATTTGTTAACATCTACTGTGATGCGAATGGCATGGCAGACGCGCTGGAAAAAGCAGGGGTAAAGCGAAAGGAAATGTTTTATGGCCTAGTGGTAGGCGAGAGGAAATGTTTTATAGCCTAGTGGTCGGGGGATTTATAAGGTCCATAGCTGATTCAGGTGGTGGAAAGCTCAGAGCAATAGCAGATTTCAGTTTGAAGTACGATTGTAATTCATTGTAATGTTTTCATTATTTTCTGCCGTATGGGCTGGTATATCCTGTGCTGGTTCTATAATTTTCTGCTCTATGGGCGAAGGTGTAATGCTGTTTCTACATGTAAAGGTTGCGAAGCTGGCTTCACACCTGAACATTCAATTTCAATAAATTGGACTTGATTAAGCAAAAAAAAAAAAAATGTAATGCACTTTTAAACTTGTTCTCGTTATAATATCATTTTAGATAAATCTAACAATTTTAAATATAATATAATGACATGATACGAATACGATATAAAAAATAATATAAAAATAAAATCATAACTAATAATGGTAGAAGGACCCTTCCTCAATTATGACTACACAACCAAAATCTTGTGTCGATTTATATCATTGATAACAAAGGGAAACACACCAATATCAAAAGGAAAAAATTTGCTTGACCTAATTTTAGAACAATATTTTCTTGAGTCTTATTGTCTAGGACCCTACTATGAGTTTCCCCAAAGTTTACTTCTCCATATCCTTTGCATGTCATCCACATTTTGGTGATGGTAGGTATCGTTTAAGTTATGCTATCAATTGCCTTGAAAGACCTAATAGACCTAATGTACCAAATGTACAAGTCGATTAATGGACATGCACATGCTTTGATGACATATATGGAGTTTGATTAAATACATATCTAAATCTACTCCCACAAATGTCAAACCCTAATCCTCTTTTGCAGCCAAATTTAACTTCTCTCTCCAATCCATTTGGCCCACAACCCACCCAGATTCCAAACTGAAATAAACTTCCACTATTCTCAACTTAATTTTCTATTGTTTTTCTCTCTAGTCTCTACTATAAATATAAGGGTTTATCAGAACTAGTCTCATTTCTGATCTCTTCTATATATCTTGTTTAAATAGCTAGAATATGGAGAGTTCCATGAATTCTGAGAGCAGATCATCACCAGGACTAGGAGGAGCAGCTGATGAATCTCCTGTGGAGAGAATCTCCTGTGGAGAGTAGTTGGACAATGTATTTTGATATGAATTATCAGCAGCTCTTTTCTTTCTGATATCAATTAACAAGCCTCTTCTCTAGTTTTATACAAGACTTGATTTTGGAGCTTTTTAGATCGTAAGAGCTATAGCAGGTTGAGTTTCAAGAAGAGAAACAAGATTTTATTTTATGACAGATGATGCCGATATTAAGGGTTAGCATTAACTGATGACATTTATTAATATATATATATATATATATATATAGAAATTCAAGAAATATTAAATCGGAAAGTTGCAAAACACTACTTGTTTTAATCATCCTCTAGGGTACTCTTTTAAATCATTTATTTTTATGGATTCGAGTCCATGGAATCATGACAAAAAGAACAAGCCAAATGATGGATTACCTAGTGATTTTAGTAAGAAATCAAACCAAGAAATATGACAAGAGAATTATATCTAAAAGTCAAAGGTAATATCGGATCGTATTTAATTAATTTAGTTTTTTTTATAATATATAATATTATTGATTTTTAAATTTCAACATAAATTATAATATATTTTCACTTGAAAATGATTCGATTTTAAGTGAATTTTGTCATTAATTCATTGGTTTTTGGATTTTTTTATATTACTTTAACATAATTTTAAATATATTTAAATAGAATTAAATATAAAATAATTATTTTTATCTTATAAAAAATTAAAATATATAAAAATTAATAAAATATATAATTCGATTTGGATATTTTTAATTTTTCACTTCTTAATCTGAAATTCTATCCAAACCTAATAAAAATTTGAATTTAAACTGAATCGAATAAAAAAATTTCTTTCAAACCAAACATTATGGTTTTAAATCAATTTTTGATTTTTTTTTTATTCCTACCAAAAACTAACTACTTCAATGCGAGAATAAATGTCTATATATAAATCCAATCCAAACCTAATAAAGAATTTTAATATTCAAACTTAAATCAAATCGAATAAAGAAATTAATCTAAACTTAATATTATGATTTGAAATTAATTTTCAAATTTTCTTTCTTCTATCAAAAACTATGATGCGAAAATACATGTCTATATGTAAATACCTCAATTTGTCTAGGATTTTTCCAAATCAGAAATGGGCTTTCCATAGTAAATTGGGCTCAATTGGAAAGCTTTGAACACAATAGAGAAATCTTCATTTTAATTTTAATTTGATTTAAATTTTAGTTTTATTTATTTATTTATTTTTAAAAGGTCAAAAACAAAAAAAAAAGTTCAAAAAACAAGGAAACAAAATCAGAAATTTTGAAAATCAATTCAAAAATCATGGTTATTTGAAATTGGAAACAAAATCAATTAGAAAATCACTCACCACGATCCCAAGAATTAAGCAATCTTCTAGATAGAATCTATTCAATAAAAGATTTTATCTTGCTTAAAATCCCTAAAATTTCTTAAAAGAAACCCTATAAAACATACTCAAAAGCACACACATAAAAGGGACAGAACTCATAAAAAGGGGAAATCTGGACACAGAAATCACACAAGGAATAAACAAATTTGAATGATAACTTTTTGGATTTTTCTAAGATTTTGTGGTTTTTTGTTAATGGGTTTAGTTTTGAATTCTGGGAAGTTTTTTTTGGTTCAAGGTAGATTTATGTGGTTTTTGGGAATCATTCTAGGTTTGGGATCTAGAAGTAGTATGGAATTAGATTTTTTGTTTTTGGATTTGGTTAATGAAATTAAGTCTTAGGTTCTAAGTTAAATTTATTTATCATTCTGGGATTTGGTAAATGTTAATTTGGGTTTAGATTCTAGATTGAATTTCTAATGATGATTTGAGTTAATAGTTTGCTGAAATCTTACAAAAGTTTTGTGGTTTTTTACTTTTCTAGAAAATCCCATATTGGTTACTTGAATAGTTAAGTTTTATGGGTTTGGGAAAATTCTTGAAATTTTGGGTTTTTTGATAATTTTTTGGGTTTAGTTTAGTTTTTCCAGTGAAGTTTCAAAGATTCTAGCGATATTCACCATGGTCAAAGAATC